AGCCAATAAAAACTGAAAACAATTCAACACAATTTGAGAGGAATTGATTTAAAAATCAAGCAAAAAAATACTTGAACAATGAGTGTGTGAGACCATGCTAAGTTTTTCCTTTGAAAGTACCAATAGCTATGAACTATTAATGGCAACCAGAATACTGTTAATCTAAATGAGCATAACCAATAACCATAATAACAGGATTAATAAATCAGCATCACTAAAAGGATGGTCAGCCTTTGCATTTGATTTTTTCTTTATGTTTTTAAAAGAAAAGCACATCACACCTGTCTTCCCTTCTTCCCCAGAAACATACTTTATGTAGCTGCAGTAATCCACCCATCAGTGGCTGAGCTGTATATATATGCAGGATCCAACTCTTATTTAGTAAACAATTATGACAAAAGATTCTTCAGTCAAACTAAAGCTATAAATGCAATCAGTATCTCAGTATTTTAGCAGAACATTTTATACATAATTTTCAACATAGAGCTAGATTACCACTACTGTTACTCTTTGACTACTATGATCCTATTAGTACAGTGAGCTGTGCAACTCATTGCCACAGGACACTGTAAATGGTTGAGTTTAAAATGTTGTTTGACATAGTAACAGAGGAAAATAATAAAGGGCTATTAAACAGAAACATCACCTTTTGATCAGGAAATCCCAAACCGCAAATTGCTTGAGTCTGGAGGAGTGTTTTGGAAAAATATCACTATTTTCCTGCCTTTTTCTTCCATCTCTTCTATGAATCAGTTATCAACCCCTGCTATAGACAGCATATGGGGCTTTTTAGGGCATTTTTTCTGGATTCTTTTTTTCTTAGACCCAGCACAGCCGTTAGTATGTTGTAAAGTACATTTCTAGACTCCAATCCCCGATACCATACTTCTTCATAAGACTACTGTAGGTCCCTTAATAATACTTAGGAGAATAGATCTGCAAGATTGTCTTCTATACAAATTGAAAACACCTAGCACACACGAGTATTCCGCATATTAATATGCAACCTGAAAATCAGAAGTTGTCCTTGAACCTACATCAAGTGCCAAAGCAAAAGCAATCTATCTTTCCGAAGTTTTTCAAAAATGTAGGAAGAATGGTGGAAGGTAATTAAGTATGATTTTTACTAGTTTTACTGCAGCAACTTGGCACAAACAGAATGAAAAGACTCTTCTTGTCCCCTCGCTCACAGAATAAGCTAGAGGAGAATGTCACTAAATCTCTTGCCCTAAGACACACTGAATCTGTTTGAAATTGTGAAGTTGGATCACCTGTTAGGGCAGATTTGTAGAGCAAAACAGATGGTGCTGAGCACCTGACATCCACATTATGCATGATTCAGAGTGGGTATTTTGGACTAACTTCAGTCTGCTCTCACGGACTGAGCATGCATTAGTGGTTACAGTGCATCTGGTGTGCCTCTGGAGTCCATCTCTGGATTTACTTTCATCAATCCAGTTTACTTTTGTAAATCCACTTTGTGCACTCCAATTCTGCTCTGATGTGCAAACTAAAATACAGTAAATAAGGATGATCAGGAGGGACACTTCAAAAGCATGATGGCACTATCTGAGCACATGAAAATGCCATAATCAGAACTTAATAGTTCTGAATGTTGGTATTCCTTAAAGCTCCACAGAAAGCAGGATTTCTCCTATAATCATGCTGGCACTGTCCTGTTTTGCTGTTGCTGGAGAAGAAGGCATGTTCCAGTTTGAAAGGAAGAAGAAACTAGAAGTCTGGCTTCAGTTTACTGGAATCAGAAGTAGGGGCAATGAGCCTCTTTAACACTTAAGAAACCAAAGCTGGAGTGTATCGGTGCAATGCTTGGCCAAAGTTATGTATTGGCCAAAGTTATGGATTTGCCATTCAGAAGACTGCATAAAATTCTGTTCATCCTTGTTTAGGAAAGGTTAATTCATCCTGGAAGAGGTACAGAGAAAGCTTAGAAGGAAACGGAGAGCTTCATCTTGAAGAGGATCTTGACTTGTTCAATAGCTTGGCAAGTCAAAACAGTACCTATAGAATCAGTACAGATAGACAGTGAACACACAGAAAGAGAAGAACATTCTCCATTAAAGAATAATGCTGGCAAATGAAAAGGGGATTCTCTTAGCAGAGGAAGTTTGGGAACAGCCTTTTACTGAGCAGCAGGTGCAAGAAACCCAAGTAGTTTAAATATAGCTCTCCATGCATTTCTGAAAGCAAATACACCATTTGGTTTCCTGGAAGAGCTGGGGAACGAACTGAAAAGATCTAGGCAGTTTCTTTCCATTTTAAGCCATAAGCAAATCCTTTATATCCCAGCACTGATAGAAACCAATGATACTCAACATCTTGTTCATCTCAACAAATTAACTGTTAGTCTGATTCAGAGTGGACTCAACTGCGAACGGTTTTCCTAGGGGTAGTGAAAGGCAAGGCTCAATTTAAAAAAACAGTCCTAAAGTTTTTTTTTTTCTATGAATATGAAATGCTATCAGTAACGAAATAGTTACAACAAAACAAAACTAAAACAAAATCTAATGTCATTAACTACATCTATCACATAGTGTGTAAAATTCAGTTCTAGTTGCATGGGCGCATTTCTGAAAGGACTGAAAAACAGTGTCCTCATCCATCTCCCTGGGCCAAATCCTGGGTAGCTCTAGGGATGGCTGTCTCCATGTGAAGAACTGGGATGAATGTAAGTACCAAAAAGCACATCTAGTGCAAGTCAGTGTCATGCAAGTAAATACTGAGAACGTATTCCAAACGAGTTACCCAAAGGTTAAAAAGCAATTATTTGACTGTGTCACTGAACACATTAGGCCTGAAGCTGTATTTTTCCATACCATCTTTATGTCAGCATAAACAATGCTAACATAAAAGGCTTGTTCAGTCCATTTATTTGATCCCTTAGAAGATGCTTTTGAAAGAGAAATAATGTGATTGTAAAATTCCATTTCAGATCTTGCGCATGAAAAAAGTATACGCCCTTTTCTTTCATCTTTAAATGTAAGGCAAAGAGCCACTTGCTTTTTCTTGTTGAATTAAAATGAACTGGAAGACAAAGCACATAAAGCAAGAATCCTTCAAGCATCATCCCCTTAAATCACTGCTTTGTGAGAGAAAAAAAAGTGGCTTTTCAGCATATGAAAATATTATTATATAGCTTGGCTTTGTGGTTTTGGGTTGCAGACCAAAGGAGAATGTTTCATTTGCTGAGAAAAATAAATCTGTTTCTGTTTTGCATTCCACAACTATTCCGAAGCATATTTTCCTGTGTGATAAATAATTCTTCAGGGCATCTGTCAGATTGCTCCTAGTCTTCGCACTGGGTTCAAAGTAAAACCTTACAATTCTCCTACTTTGCTTTCTACACAAAGTAGACTTACCCTTAGGCAGAATGCCTCACTGAAACCATGCACAGACCCCAGAGAAATCTCAGTGGCAAAAAATAGCAGTGAATGATATTAAAGACGTGCTCCTAATCAATATCTTGTCAAATCAAACAGTATCTCTATATCCAGTACATGACAGTGTCATGCCAGATCAGATCCATGGCTATCTATTGAAAATAGCCACTGTAAAATATTTGTCATCTAAAGAGAAATGACTCCCATCCATCTGGGAGATATTCAAATCTCATCGTCCTCACTTTGCTGTTCTGGGGGGCCCCATGCAATCACCGAGTTTAACTTCTTTGGGCTGATACCCATGCAGAACAGCTTACCCCAGGAGTCACTGCAGGCTCACTAGGAGCACAGCCCAGACGAAGGACCTTTTTGGCAGACCGCAGCTGAGCGTCAGGTTCAGAACGAAAGCTAAAACAGAGTAGTTTTTGCTAGTTTTGAGTTTAGCTTATAAAGCTGTTTCACCATTCTGCCAACTGCTTCAATGCAATCCACTCACTTTGGACATAATGGGACCTACTTTTGTATGGAAGATGCTTTATAAAGTGAAGGCTGCTCTTTCACATAAGGAATATAACTAGTGACTCTCCTGAGCCACCTGTATTCGAAACTGAGGCTATCAACCTCTGTCTTCCTTCCTCTGTCGGTAAAGCAATAGGTAAGTAATACAAATGTCATAGAGACTTTGTGAGGCACCATTAGTTGTCATTCACTGAGCAATTTAGGAGTGTAAATTATTGTTTCATTTTCAGTGGTAGGAAAATGACATTGAGCTGAAGAGCAGTTTTACGTCTTATCAAAGAAGTGCTAAATTGAACGTCTTCATTTATATGAGATACATTTGCCTTGAAGCTTGTGGAGGGAGAAAGCAAAAAAGACTAACCAGCTATTCACCAAAAGATGTGTCTTATCCATAACTCATATTTTGGAACATTATTCTTCAGAGTGACAACAAGATTTAGAGCTAACCCAAACCTGGCATGTTACGTCCATGACTACAGTCTGCCTTTGCACTGAACAGAATTACTCACTGACCATCTAGCTAGAGAAACAGTATGACCAGTATTACGTGCAAACAGGTGTTTTTTCTCTAGGAAGACCATCAGAGTAGTAAATCTACTAGCATAAAAATCAAATACTGAAGGAACAAAATTAAAGTTTGTGTGACATTTGAACAGTGACAATATCTTTTAAAGCTTCTTCTGGTAACCTTGGTGTTTTATTTTTAACCAACACACATGCAGACAGACAGAAAGTAAGTCAGACAGAAAGATAACTCCTACCCTCGCGGGCTGCAAAGCCACTGCTGCCTACACACAGCAAACCCAACAGGCAGGCCAGAAAAAGCATGTCACATGCGCCCAGAGATCCAAAATAGAGAAAGGTCAAGTTTAAGGGTCAAGATAGTTACGTGACAAGTAACGAGATCCAGCTCTGGGGAATTTCTTTCAATTCAGTCCGATTTCATAACGCCTGTCTGTTTGTAAGCAGTTTTAGTGTTCCAGCAAACAACACGTACATGCATGCACCATCACTGCAGGTCCCCTTTCTGAAACCTTAGCAAAGACGCCAAGGCTGAAAGCACATCATGTCCAAAGAGTCTTTTTTAGCTATGGTGTCTCCAAACTAGGTTTAAGGTATGTGAGACAAACGTACATAACTTTGAACTGCTTGTTGTGCCTCCTACAAGTCTTCTCATAAAGCAGATACTAAAACTACTTCTCAGAGCTCTGGCACATCTGACAGTGCTTAAACTTCACTGACAGTACTCAAGCTTCATACAAACTTCAAATAAATTGCTTTTAAATAAAAATTTCAAAAGAAGAGTTGAATAATGAAGGTCTCTGGCATGTACTCCTGACAGTAACGTATTTCGTCTCCGAGACTCATCTGCCAGAAGATTATGCTGACCTTCACCAAATGCTATTACTTCATGGGAGAACACTAACAGGCACATTACATGTAATCAAAATCAAAATACTGGTGTGATTATATTCTGACAGCCACAGATAAGAAGCCAAACTGGTAACAGGCTATTGCTGAAATTCCCAGATTAACTTCCTGTGCTTTCATGTAGACAAAGACGGCACAACACCATACATGAGATGAAAAAGTTGTCCTGCATTTCAGTTTGCTGACCGCGAGCCTGACAATTTTTGCTACCCTTGCACCATTAATTACTTTGGGTTTGTTTCTCAAAAAGCTCTTTCAGAAAGTTGTACAGAGAGTAATAAACATGTATTACTCATCAGATCCTGGAAATCTCGTTGCATTTATAAAGAGCTTTCAAAATAAATGGATCTCAGTTCTAACGCTCTGCCACAACATTAATGCCACTGTACTCACCAAAACAACCCAGGAGCAAGTTACTGTGCAGGCATGCATAACAGCCTGCTCTGAATATTGTTTTTAATGTTTTTCTGCGAATGTTTTCTCATCCAAAAGATGAATAGCCTCCAAATAGAATCTGTCTGTACGCAGGTTTTAATTAATCTGACATCACATACAATTCCATATGCCTAAATGGATTAAATGACATTTTGAAAGATTTACGGCACTGCTAACGTCTCTAAATTTGCATCTGGAAGTATCTTGATAAATCACCAAGTAACCAGAAACTTATTAAAGCAGGGGCTTACACCAGATTTAACACAACTTTTTCTGTAACTGCTACTGACACAGCTACTAAGGCGTCACTTACTTGCACACGAAGCTGAATTTCCTAAGCCAAAACAAGCACCACACACTTGTGCTTTTTTCTGGAGCTCACAGTGGTTTTCCTGGGTAAGAAAACCAGCCCAGTATCTGACATACTGACCAGTGCCACTGCAGCAGAGATTACAGAGACAGGCAGGGATGGAGCTTTTGTAAATCAAAAACACCCCAGCCTACAGTTCCTAAATTCATTCCTAGATACAGTGCTTAGTGTCAGCCTGGTATGATGAAACCTTACAAAAGGAGAGAGGAAGATAGGAAAAAAGGCAAAAGAAAAGCAACTCATGCCACTACCTTAAGAATGGGGTGAAAATCCCTGCTGCCTCCCTGGAGCTGGACGTGTCCATCGCACTCCAAACCTCGCCAGGGAAGCTCAGCGTGATGAAACAAAAAGGGTTTACCAAGAAAACGGACAGAAGGCAAAAAAAAAAAACAACAACCAAAAAACCCCAAATAAAAAACAAAACAAAAAACCCCCAAACAAACAAACAAACAAACAAAAAAACCCAGAAGAAAAGCTGTATGTCTTTACAGCCTGATCTCTGAAGCTGTAATGCATCTTAAAGCCTATCTACCTCTCTGAAGGGACTTACCACAAGCGTGCAGCACAGGAACTTGTTCATTGTGGTCGGTGGAAGAAACCTCAGCGCGCTGGGAAATCAGGCAGAGAGTCAGCTCCCGCTCCAGTCTCCTAGCAGCCTGCTTACATCCCCCAACATTAAAGACACGATATATATATAGTCCCGGTGTAACAGGAAGCTTTGGCTCAGCTTTGATCACTCATTCCCTACCATGACCAAACTTTTCTCTCTCACTCGCTCACTCTCCCCCTCTTTTTTTTTTTTTTAAAGGAACCTGTAAAACTTGATGACTTAATGGAACCCTTTGAGTGCTCTAACCACAGACTGGAAAATGCAGGAGGGAGTGTCAGGGGCTGGCCAGGGGAGGGTTTAATTGGGCTCTGGCTGTCTGGCTGTCTGTCCCCCCTCCTCTCCCCTGAGCAGCTGGCTTGGAGGGGAGAGGCGCGCCCCGGGGGGCCCCCGGGGCCGCCTCAGCACCCCGGGCGCACGGGAGACATGGCCAAAAATCACTGGGGGAGGCTGAGCCCCAGGGCCCAGCGGCAGTGCAGCCACCCGCTCCCTGGGCCCTTGAGCGCACGCTGCCATTTCCCGGGGGGGGAAGAGGGCTCCTTTTGGCTGGGCTCCCCAGGGATTTCCAGGAGGGGGGCTGGCTGGGAAGCAAAGGCCAGGGAGGGGAGGCTGAGGGGAAGGAGGATCCCCGGCGGTTTCCCATCCCTGCCGAGGCAGGCCTGCGCGACAAGACGGGTGTCTGGCTGCCCGGGCCGCCCGCCGACCAGCGCCAGCCGCGAGGGGCTTTGTGGGGAGGGGAGGCCTGCGGGAGCGATATGGGGCTTTTGCACATGGGGTTGTGATCTTCCGTGACATTCAGTGTCCGAAAAAAGGGAAGGCTCAGTGCTTTCAGCAAGCCCTTGTCCACAGGAGAGGCCCCACTCAGGGGCTTGTGCTTCCTTCCCCCACATGCCATGCAGTGCTTTTGGTTAGAAAAGGACATTTTTCTAAAGCCAGAAGGATTAAACCCTGCAGGTGTTGCCCCCGTGGATTTCTCAGCGGGCTCCCTGGAAGCCCCAGGGAACCTGCGTGTACCAGGCGCTGAGCCGAGCACTGCTTCCCGAGCAAAGGTGTGGAGAAAGGATTTCTTTCCACAACCTGCAGACATTCAGAAAGTGATTATGGGAGGCTGTGGGATCCTGGGGTAGAAGCCAAACCCAGATGTGCCTCCAGTTTTCACAGATGGTTTTCTCTCCCTTTTCACAGGCCAGACCAAAACCTCAGGTCTGGATATTCCAGCTCTCGCGCATTTGAAATCTGGGGCCCACGTTGGCTCTGGGTTGTGCAGTTTTGCCTCTTTGAATCACAAGGCTGAGTGGGATTGGCAAAAGAGTGAGGTGGAAAAAGCCTGCATATTGTTTCAGAAAAATTCAGCTATGCTAAGTCAGGAAACTGTCTTCTTCAAGAAAGAAAGCCTCACACATTCCTCCTTACACGTCTGTAACCGTTTGAATACCCATCAAGCATAACTTAAGATTGAAACAGATGCTGAGTACACACTTCAGGATGACAAAAATTCAAGACACTTGAATTAGTTCTAAGTTCTTTGTAAGAGGTGATATGTAAACTGGCACAGAAACCCTACGACCTGAGGGAATATGGCTGGCATCTGTTGGGTAGTAGTCACCACTCAATTACTATTGCACCTTGAATGGATGCTGTAACTCTTCCTGTAATCTTTTCAGAGTGTTTTAGTACTTTAGCATTTATTCGTAGATATATTTATGAGCATACTGCCCAGATAAAGGGACAGTAGTCTAATAAACAGGATCTACTTCTGCATTTATGCATTTTCTTTGTGGGTAGGGGAAAGGACTATATTTGAAATGGCCACCTTCAACCATGTAAGGGAGCACAACTTCAAGTGTCAACCAGAATGCTATAGCAACTCCATCAGCAGAAGTTATTTAAGCCAAAGTAGCTTTATTCCATCAGAGGCCAAGGACTGGACATGGCAGTGTGTCTCTCCACCAGTATCGATTCAGAGGTCCCTGGGAGGTGAGTGAGGCTGATTGCTTCCTGCTCAGATACAGCAGAAAGAAAAGCACCAAACCTGTATCAAGCTCCGTGTGGTTAATTGGACAGTATAACTGAATTTCAGTGGGCTTTGGATCGGGCTGTGTCTTCTCATTGCTGGTCCCAGCCATAAATAAGCAACAGCTGGCTCTCTAGAGAAATAAAAATGTAGCTCATAAGCCTGTGTTTAAACAGGTTACTTTGTATAGAGAATATTGTTCATACCAGAATTTTCTAGGGATTGAAATATTTTATTCCATGAAACAGACCAGAAAACAAATTAAAAGTCCATTAAAATTCTTCAGCTGAAAATGTGGCTATGGTTAAGAAGTGGCATCTTCTTCGGCACATCTGCTTTATGTTATATTTGTGTTCAGAGTTAGATTTGCTGACTTGCCTGAGAAGATATTTTACTCCCATAAACAGTGAAAGAACTGACACAGGTTAATGAGAACAAAACAGATCCTCCTTGAGTCCATTCATCTAAATGGAAGGGGGCCAAGGTGTATCTGTTTCAGTGACCACAGCAGGTTTGGACAGATGCTAAGGAGACCATCATCCTAACGATACATGAACATGAAAGTTTCAACTATCTAATCTCATTGGAGGCTGTGGAGCTGGCAGTGGGTGTTAGGAAGGAACTATATAGTTGTACTTAGCATGTTTGATCTGGAAATCACAAATAGACAATAAATACAGGATCCCACACTGCCATTTTAGTGTCACTTTTCAGAGAAGAACTGCACTTGAACAAGGTTTAAACTGCAGTTTGAATGTTTTCACAAGTGCTTTACAGCGTTGCCACTTTGCCTTTGGGAATTAGTTAAGATGTGCTTTGCAGAGCATGGAATCATAGGACAAGGCAGTAAACCCTGTAATAAACACTTGTCCATGCTACAACCAAGCTGTTCTCAGCAGTGTTTAGAAGAACCACGTTTGTGAGTACATGTCATAACAGGGAAGGGACACAGCCTGAAATCGTTTTTTAAAAGTTAAATTCCTTTAATTATTCATTATGCATAAATAGTTTATAGGATGTAATAGGAAAAGAAACTAAAAAACCAAAAAAATCAGAATTTATTCTTTTACTAACAAACCTAAAGTAGTGAATATTGGCATTAGGTAGCCCATTCCATGTTACAGGATTATGACTAGTCTGTTTTAAAAATCATTAGTTAAAAGTGATGCAGCAACAGCCCTCTAGTTAATAAAGATGGTTCACTGCAACTTGTAACAGTACATAAAACTGGAGAATAAGGACCACTTTCACTGGGCAGACTGTAAGTTACTGATACCACATTGCTTTCAATCTGTAATGATGTGCTTTTGGTAGGACATCAGCTTATTGATTCAGTAGTAGTCATATTTCCAGACAGGTATTTATCTTTCCCTGGTTTTTATCCTCACTATTTGTATTGCTGCCCTGGATGTTATGATTGTTATAAATCTATTTTTGCTTCCATGCATCATTATAATCACCAGGTCTATAAATGGCTTTGCTCTTTCAGCCTGTCTGCTATCTGGAAAAACTCACAAGTCCAGACCAGTGAGTTGGTGCTGGCAGGTGAACGCTGCGTAGCTGAGTCATCTCAATATATCAGTGTGATGTTTATTGAGCCCAAGCAACAAACAGTGGGAAGACTGTGGCTTCAGGCTTGAGACTCAAAGTTCACCACACATTGCGTTTAGAGAACACTCAGAGCTTCGTCATTAACAGATTTCTGTCAAACCAAGGGAAAGAGGGATCTCAAAAAGATCGATTGCCTCTGAAAGCAAACATACTAGTAGCTGCAAGAAGGACACAATCTGGCACTCTACCATGCTGTTACAGCAGTCCCTTAGAAATTAATCTCTCTGTTTAAATTGTAAGAACTGATGATCTGAACTATCCCGGGAAAACTTTGACAATGGAGACTTAAGGAAAACTGGTAATCTGTGGACAGTGTAGTAGTTCAGGTAGCAGGAAAGCACGTTTCAGATTTTGCCAAGGTAGGTGAAAACCCCCTGCAGATATATCCCCATCCTTTTTCTCTCATATAACTCAGAAACCCTGGGAAAAAGATTTCATGCCAACATATACTGAAGGAAGAGAAATGTTATTTAGCTAATAAAGTTGCCAAAAGAAAACTTACACCTAAGTGGTTATCTTTGTTTTAACTGTGTGGCTTGTTTTATCTTGTAAATGGTTTTGCCTCATTTTTTTGATTGAGACCTTGGCTCATTTTGTAAATCTGAGGCAGATATGAGGTGCTAATATACCGAAAGAAAAACTGTATTTGTCAAACTACGTATCCAGAGAAGGAAAAGTAGAACTTGTCCTATCAAAACAGAACTTGATTTGGATTATAGGATTTGAAGGTTGCAATAGAGGAACTGAAAAATTACGAGCCACAGAATATATGAAGTTACCAGCCATAAACAATTAAATACAAACATTTCCTCCAACTTCAAAATTAAGAAAGCACATATTCTTTGCTGCTCAGGCTTGCCTACCTAGAGAATTAAGCCAGCTTGTGAATCTGGAAAGTGCTGGTTCTCTATGTGAATACCCTTAGCTTGCAGATAACATTCCTTTCTCTAGACTCCTTTCAAAGTGGATTCATACCACGTCACTCATCTGGGTTTGTGAACTTTTCAGCTTGGGTAAGCAACCTGAACCAAGTAGAATCAGACTCCTGACTTCCAGATGGCTGTAGTTGAGAGTAAGCCCTTGACCTCTGTATGGGGACCACCAAACTGCTGCACTGTAAACTTGCATCCCAGCCTGCTTCACAGTCACTCTGACCTACAGGAAAATAACCTGGAGTATAGGGGATACCAGAGGAATGGGAACTGAGAAATGGCCGTTTCATTTAGTCATTCCTGCCTTGGCCTTTTTTGGCCTTGAATTTCTTCCTAACTTGATCTCTGTGGCATCAGGAGGCTTCTTGCAATGATTCAGATCCTTCAAGCACTCAGAAAGCTGTAACATCTTCTGAAAAACTCAGTCGTAAACCCCAACCATTTGATAAGAAGGAATTTATTGTTCCCAGAATCAACAT